GGTCTGATAGTTGCCCCTAGGAAATTTGATGTTCTTAAAACTAGCATATTTGTTTTAAGAACATCAAATTTCCGCGGGGCAACTATCAGCCGATAGTTCCTCGACAGAAACACTCTATTGTTTAAATAGTATGATCTAATTTCTCCTTACAATATCACCTCTGAATCACATATTTAGGTCATGAGAATAAAGGAAATGATCACCAAGGAAAGGGGCTCTTGATTGTCAAACAAATTCTCCTCGTCAGCACCTCAGGAAATGTATGAAGAACAGTATTGAGAATATGCATAGTGATGTTAAGGTGTAAAGAGTGAAGGAGGCAACAAGAGTTCCGAGCGTATCAAAGAGCGGGGTTCCAAAAAAAGGAACAGCAATCAAGATTATTTTAAATACGTGATCAAAAACCACCAGAGACGACAATTTTTAGTGACATCCTTGATTGCATTGGTGTTGATTCACTACGCTTTGGGGCTTTCTGAAAAACTTCGCGTTAGCTAGCTTTCAATTAGCCAGCAGTAAAACTAAAACTTGCGCTTAAGGACTTTTAAATGTTTTCATTGAGTTTGTCTCAGATACTTGTGTTAATTAACCTGACAAACGAGACAGGGAATTTGTTTTGGCATCTTTAATGAGGAAACGAGGAGTCCCAGAGGGCTCGAGGAAAGCCCCCAAGCAAAGTCAAAGAGGCCCAAACAAGATTCGCTGTAGAAGGAAGAGAAGTGCGAGGAGAGAGAGGAGGAGGAGGTGCTAGAAATAAAACGGGAATCTAAAGTAAAGGAGTATAATAAAATATGGCCCGGTAAAGCAATAAGTACAACGAACAAAGGAACAAAACGCGCGATCGAGTTTCAACTAAATGACTGTCAACATCAATCCAGGCTCAGCATATGGGCCTGGGGCTAATTAATTAATTAATTCCCCCAGGAATATGAACCCTAGCAATTGCAGTTTTTCTGTAATTTTTTTTTACCACTTTTGAAATTCTCTCGATTTTGCTTAATTACCTTCATCCCTGATCGTTGACGCCAGAGGAATTCCATCGGGTTGTTTTATATCCACTGTGACCCTGTCTCCTCCTTTGCACCTCTTGCCATGTCGATCCTTTGTGGTCAGCCGGAAAGTTGTCTCCATTTTGACACGCGCGGTATGGATTCCGTCTCCGCTAGCGTATGAAATCGAGGCAAAAGTGCTACTTGCCCGGATGCTCCCGAGTGACTCCGACACAGTCTTCGTTGTGGCGGGATCGTGAACATATTGAATTGTGTCATCTTCTTCGGGCTCGAACTGAATCTTAACGCCATTCAAGGTTTCTAAGCGCCCTTTCATCTGCAAAACCTCTACTTCGTTTCCGAACTTTAAGACATTGTCAGCAAACTCGCAGCAACCTGCAAGCTTGCCTAGTTCCAACTCAATACTGTCCTTTTGCAAACCCAACACCTTCTGCTTCCCATCATGAATTTGATCCAAGTGCTTCAAGAGCTCGTTTTGACCCTCACGCAGCGCTTCAATTCGCGCCTGCACGTTCTCGCTGATTTCCTTTGCAATCGCTTCTCTACACTCTGTGAGCCTCTTTGACATTACTTGCACTTCGGACAGCGTTTTCTTCAACTCAGGCATGCGTATCTTAGCTTGTTCTAGCTGCTCTGCAATGGCGCCCCTTCTGGCCGGCAAAGCTTCCTTAGGGTAGACATATTGGTGTTCTCGGTGCTCTAGAATTGTGCAAACACGACAAATAGCTTCATCACACGTATTGCAAAAATACTTGATGACATTCCTCGTATGGTACTTGCAAAAGGATAAGCTATATCTATCCAGCTCTTGACTCTCCTGCTGACAGTCATCTTCTGTGGCAATTATCCTATGGTCGTGCGTGGAATGCGCCCGCTTGTGCTCTGCCACGCAACTCGTGCACAAGTCCTTTTTGCAGTCCACGCATCGTGAAGTGGCCAAGTCCGCTGTTTTCGCGTTATCGCAGGCGTGGCACTTCTTATCCTCGCGTATTTCCTTCTTTAGTTCTTCTGATGTCAAGTGAACCAGATCCAACATTTGATTCACAAAAAAATTTGGCATTAGCGTATCGACTCCTTTGTCCGGGATCGGGGTCTCAGCACGGCATGTGGGGCAGGTAATCGAGGATGACGGGTGATTGTTCACGATTCTGTGTAAACAGTGTGAACAGAATGTGTGCAGGCATTGTAGGAATACTGGAGCAGTCAGGCGATCCAAGCAAATGGCGCACATCAGCTGCTCGTTGATCTGTTCGATAACCCTAACAGCGGACGTCATGGTGTCTTTTTAAACTTGAAACCTTATAGGAAAATGTATCCTAATGAGAAAAAGTGGGAGAACAATGAGGGACAGACAAGACGTCGTCTGGAATATGTCAGTTCAGTTTAAATTAGATATTTAGGGACCAATCATTATTTACCACCTGGGGAGGGGGTGGAGGATTTCTTTTTGGAGGGGGGATCATATGGTTGTCATGGGGGAATGGAGATGATCAGTCGTCGCCAACAAATAATTAAGGGGGAGTCTAGAAAACTGACTGTCACTAAATTGCAAGTGAGGGGGTTATCATAAAGCTATTAGATAGCCTTATTGGGGTATCAGTAAATATCATGGTGACACAACCAAAATTTCCCAACCCCATCCCTCCGGTGATAAATCATGTCCGGTCCTTCCGTCGAAATAGATATTGTTTTTGGCAGGGGATAAACGTTCCTCGACTGGTTTACAAAGGACCCTCTTTCCAGCTTTACTATCTTGGGCACCTAAGACGGAAAGATACATCAATTTTTTTCCTTGTCGAGTCATCTTGTCTGAAGACCGAATACGTAAACAAGTTTTTCAAGAAGAACACTTTTCAATTTAATAAACTTTCTGGAAATAAAAATTTGCTAATGTTGATGGCTTTACGAGGAATCTTGTCAAGGAAATTGCAAACGATTTGAGGGCAACTATGTTTCCATCAAAAGAAAATAATGGTCCGAATATTTTCTCTTAGTTCCTACTGATAATTAAGTCAGGCCAATCAAGTAGTCTGAAGAAAAAAGAAGCTAAAGTTAGGCCCTCAAATGTACCCTACCTTCTTCTTAAGCAAGCCTTGAAAGAAATATAACTGAGTTACTAAAAAAAACCATAATTTCATTCAGCTCTCTCTTTCGGTCGTTTGTATTAACTGTAAGTCGTGGGTTTCTGCGGGTCAAAATGTCAACATGTTGCACTTTTTGTTGTTAGTGATCTATTCACAGCAATAACTGTTCCCAAGTTAAACTTCGTACAATAGAATAGTATTCTTCTCGCTGAATGGCTCGCCTATTTCAATTGGTCTAGAACGTACCTTTGATACTACGACTGATTGACCCTTAACCCGTTCACCTCTAAGAGCGACTAGCATCTTATTCCTTCTTACTATATCACCCTCGAATCACACATTAAAGTCCTGACAATATTTTTCTCATTCGTAAACTGAATTACTCCGTATTCTTGAGAAAAGCTGTATTAACAGTAACACGACCAAATTTCACGGTCATTTTCTGATAAATTTACACATTTACCCCTAGATATCATTTCTTTTACAAATGACGGAAGTTATCAGAACCAATGAAGGAAGTCAGCTATTGATACGTAAGGGTTAATTAAAAGAAATAAAAACTTGAAATTCATAACCAAAATCAATCGAATGAAAAACAGTCCGAGATGGAAGTAAAAAGACACTCAACTCCATAACTCGGTAATGAACAAAAGAAAGACCCCAATTAATTTGACTTTTAAGTAAGGAGTTGGTTTGAGTTATTACCAACCAAACCTCTCATCATATCTGCTCAACTACCTGTTGCGACAAAAAATATACCAGAGGAAAAAGAACTACGCCTGGTCTCTTTTAAGATGAATCGCAGCTTTTTATTGAAAAGCCGAAAATTTCTTGCTACAGAATTCATGGGCAAAACTAAAATTGATATTATTCTTTCGGGCACAAAAACAGTTGAAATAAATCTGTAAAAGTTCTCGCCACCGAGAAACCACTATAATAGTTGGTATCAGCTTTATAAACAATTACAACCATGAATTCAAAGGCGAATGCTTTATCTCACAGATCGATTCTAGATTGTTTCCTTTCTTTTTCTAGTTTTTTATATGTATCTTAAGGTGTAGATCGAAATTTGGAAAAGCTTTCCAGCAAAATAGACTAATTCTAGATCTAACAGTCGTTCAAGTACCAGTTTTTAAATTCCCTTTTGTTCTCGTTTATAAAATCCTGATTCAATTCAATTTGAATTAAAAGAATCGCATGCAGCCGCTATATGTTACATAAAAAGGTCCGTGTAAATTTTGGTGTATCATAGCTTCTCTAAATTAACCCTGTATGCTTCCATGGAGAGATCGTTTCTACGGACAATTTTGATTTCTACAATGATAGACAGCCTTTAAATAGCGAAAGACATTGTCAACTCAGCCAAGTTCAAAAATATGTCTAAATGTCACTTTACCCAAGTTTTTCGCCGATCAGCCTTATGATTCCCTCAAAATTTTTTCAGCGATGCTATCTTCCGTCATATTGCACACAGGGCCATAATTCAATCAAGATATTTTAGAATCGTTTCACGCCGCTGAGACGAAAAGTAAATTATCCTTTGTTCTCGAACGATTTCATTGCAATGCGGTGATCTGGCATTCTTACGTAAAAACCCATTGACCCGTGAACCAGTATTTGACTGCTCACTGACCAATCACCGCATCCGGGTAGTTTTGTTATCTTAGGACCATCTGATATCTGACAGGTGTATAAGCAGGTTGGAAATACTTTCCGCATCATGATTCTTCTGTCTCGTTGGGATCGCAATTTGCTCTGACGGGTAAAATGTGTCAAAATCGAAACAAAATCATTATCAAAGCGGTGAATTCAGTAAGGTCGCAAGTATTTGCCCAGAGAAGAATTTTAATGAAGAGCATCTAATTGTCAGAAATTAAAAAAAAAAAAAATGGTTTCTTTGCAGATCTTCAACTACCAGCGCAAGTATTAGAGTATGGTTGAGCGGTTAAGAATTTTGGCCATGTAGCTATTACGGAGTTTTTTAACGAAACACTTTTGACATTCAGCGCCCTGCCATGGCCAGGCAGGTTTGAGGTTCCTCTTTTCGCGTAGTCTGATCGACACCGTCTTGTCTTTTTAGACGAGGGTCCCAAAGCGTTGTGAGATAGGGCACTTCAAAGCTTTGAAGAGTGGATTCGGCTTTGAAAAGGACACTATTCTAGAAAATTCGGTGACGTACCAAAAGTCCAGTTCTGTTGGTCCGGCCCGGACTGTTTAAAGTAAACTGTTCAATCCTAGAATTTAAATTTAATTAAATTCTATCTCTCCATAGAAAATACACAACGCTGTCTGTAAATTCTAAATATAACCGACTAAAACTAACAACTTTTAAATTTAATAAAAAAGGCGCGACCATTAACAGTGGTAGATCCAGACCTTGAGGGGGGGGGGAGGTTTTTGTTTGTGTGTGTTCATCTGCCGGCATTTCTTCCCTCTGCATTTATTTTTTTACCCAAAATAAGGGAGGGCCGGGTCCCCCCGTACCCCTCCCCTAGATCCGCCACTGATTAACATTGGAACAAGCCATCAGTATGATAACTTCACCCAAAATGTAGCAAAACAATGGACCAGTTAATTTAAAAAGGATTAGCCGTTGTTCGACTAAACCGCGTTTTAAACCATCTTGAGTTTAGCTGAATCTTTTATCTTAACGTTTATTTTGTGAACAGTGTTAAGAGGACCGAATGTTAGTAGTGGAAAGACATTTATCAAATGAAAACAATCTTCTTAAAGAGAATAACTTGAAAGCTCACCGATTTCTTAAAACCGCTGTCTGGGTTGAACCTCGTCTACGTAACCGGCCCATTGAGTTTCACCAAACTCAGAATTTGTCAAGTGAGTTATTTGAATATAACGATCACAAACATTTGTGTTTTTTTTTGTTTGTTTGTTTGTTTATGTCGTTCTAGCCTTTCAAACTGACTGAGTCTTTACAAGAGATTATGAACTGAGTCTTTGTTCTCTCGGTCTTTAGTCATTCATTGAACTTCTCAGGAGATGCTTAAAAGACCACCTCACTTGATCCAGTCATAGTTAATCGAGGGGAATAATTCCCCTCGATTAACTATATGCTCCAGTCTGTTGAATTTCAAACTGTCATTTTTTTCTTATTCTTCTGTCTTGACTTACTTGATTCCTTCTCTCTACCGATAGGACGATAAAGTCTCCTTCGTAGCTATTCTTTTTTATGTTTAACTACGTATTAGTTCTAGATATTTTTTTATTTAAATATTGTAATCTGGTTTTCACATGGTTTCCTAGATCCCATTGCAAATTTGCCCTGATCTCACTTCTTCCTTCCCATCGTCCCCTTCGTCAGTGTAGTGATTATCTCCCTTGCCAATAGAGGCCACGATCGCTTATGTAAAATTTGAGACGACCGAGAATGAGTCAGCCAGATTAGTATGACGACAAAATGAACACGGAAATAATTTTTCAGTCCTGGCTCACTCTAAATGCACTGAGACTGAATCATTGTGGCAAACTGCAATGTGTAGTGACTAAATGCGGCTATAGTAACACTGAGCTGCGAAGCAGCGCCTCTCCTGGAGCTAAATCTTTCAATTCAATTCAAGACCACCTTCACCCTTTCCATCCCTAAAGAAAGAATGTGTCATTGAAAGTAGGGTAAGATACGAGACGTGTACGGCACTTATGTTCGGTACAGCTATCTCTTTCCTTGAAGATTATATACATGAGAACTTAGAACAGGGTTTATTCTAGAGCGCAGATTCACGGGATTTCCATTCTAAACGTGAATGTGTCGCAAAAGATTGTGGCCAATCAATCGTTTTCTCACTGCCCAGATCCAATTTAGGCACTTTTTGGGATAAATCACTTCTTGGGCCCCTCTCCTGGTAAAGGTCCTTTTCATTCCTGGTTCTCATTCTCCCCTCGTCTACATGAAAGTGAGGCCAGTTTCTTGTGATTGTGCAATAATCTCTCCTACTCTGTCCTTTCCTCTCTGGACGCCATTTAGGCATCAGTAGTGTTTTTGCTGTAATCCAGAGAAACTACAGCGTTACCATCATGGTGAGTCACCATCGTCGTTCCATCGTATTCAATCTGTATTATTTGGTGTCCGACTGCGTCAAATGACGTCTCTTTCGTAAGATTTTCTTAAAATATGATAAAGTTTCTAGTATCAAGTTAGGATATAGTCGCCATTTTAACCGGCCTTTTAGTCATAAGAATAATATACAAGAACTTTGGCTCTTGCCAAGTGGTTATTTGTGGCAAACTAACAACTTCTTTTCTTATCCCTTTTTTAGCCGAACTTTACGATAGACCAGGTAAGTCGGGACATCAAAAGCTTTTATCAATCTCTTGTAATTTGAATGAGGGAACTTGTGTGAAACGTGGAGTCCTACGACTAAAGATGTGTGCGATGTAACTATAAAGTCGTGTACGATTGCCTTTTTCTATAAATGTGAATCGTTAATCGGGAAGGTTAATTACTTAAAGAACTATTAGATTAAAAAAATTGCTGGGTACAAGAAAGGATCGCGGGCATAATTCTGTTTTCCATCAAGTTTCAGCACAAATGATTAACGGAGTATGACCGATCTTTCGTGTATCACACCACCGGAACTATCTAATCGTGTTCAGCAAAGCTTAATCGAGTGAATTACGTAACTACTGACGTCTAATCGAGCGAAATATGTTTTCAAACTCCTTGTAGTTGATGACAAATTGCTTTGAATGGGGTAGAAGGACTGAGTTATACTCGAACTTTATACTTGTATAAACTTCGAATTCTGTTTCATCGTATCGCAGTTGTCTTGGTTTACGCTCTTTTCAAATTTACAAAGTTTTGTTCCTAGTTAAATTTTAAGAATCTGATCATTATATACAGACAATAGTCCTAAATTGGGTAGTGTCTTTTTTCCTTGAGAAAGAATGGAATCAAAACGCATAAAAAAAGTAAATTTTAAGATAAACTTATGATTCAATGTGCCTTAGTTTCTGAAGCAAGAAAGGACCATAATTTGATTTATAGATGTATTCTCAGATATTTGCTCATTAAAAACAAGGTTTCTCTCAATACTGAAACCAAGGGGAAGTATGCTGTTGTACCTTGTGTTTGAGAGGTTGTTACAATGAATTTGAGGCATTGCTTCATCAACCATAAACATGCATTTGTATTAGTTTGAGTATGCATTCATTCCATTTTTTCTGGTCACCTTTCTTTTCCTGTTTTGATGCAGCCTATGGAAGAACAGTGAAATTGTACTCCATCAGTATATGCACACCCATAAAGATGCATTGGTTAACAGTTGTTGACAATAGATTATGTTGCTACATCAACATCTTTCTCTGCACAAGTCCTCTCTCTCTTTAATAAGCTAGAATTTTCTACCATCTACCTCAGACACCATCTCAAATGGATTAAATTTCACCTTTCCAGATGGGCTCTAACTCTTTTTGTGTGTGTGGTTTCAAATTACTGAAATACTGATTGGGGTGATGCAAAGAGTTCTCTGAGTTTGGACTTTTGAAAAGTAGAGCTGAAAAAAGCGTCAAATGTGAAGGATTTCCTCTTTGCCCAACACCAACAATTTGTGTCTGTGGAAAGATTATAAGGAACACCTACAATTTGTGTCAGTGGAAAGATTATAAGGAACATATAATTTTCACCCTTTACATCCTAACGTCAGTAGGTTTTCCATACAGTTCTTAATTCATTTCTTATGGTACAGTACAGGCAGCAGGAATAGCAGCATTAAATGCGTGGAAATTAGGGATATTGCATGGAATTTTCAATGCAAATTATGTGCACATTGCACACGAATTGAGGAATTACACAAAAGTACTTAGAAAAAATTACACACATTCTTTTATAGTGCATGCAAAATTTAGCAGGAGGTTTAAGGGTTAATTCTGTCTAAGTGTAAATGTTGGCCCCTGGATATTAAATTTAGTCAAAATTCCTTGACTTGGGAGGTCAATTGGCATTTTATATAAGGAAGTTTTTGACTGGTGCTTCTATCTATATCTTCAGTTTTGTGTTGTTCACTCAAAAAATGTAACCTTTTGATGATATGATCTGTTTTTCCTAGATCCGTGAGATCATGGACAAAAAGAACAACATCCGGAACATGTCTGTGATTGCTCATGTTGACCATGGGAAGTCCACCTTGACAGATTCTTTGGTCAGCAAAGCTGGAATTATTGCATCTGCAAAAGCTGGTGAAACAAGGTTTACAGACACCAGGAAAGACGAACAAGAACGTTGTATTACTATCAAGTCAACGTAAGTCTTAGAACTGAAGGTGTTTGTTTTGCAAAGTTACAGCCTCTTCTGTAATTTAAGGAAATTTTCTACAGTGAAAACACCAAACTTTAAAATCATAGAAATTGTAGGAGGGTTTGATATAAGACATTATTTTCAATTTGAATTGCACCTCTCAAATAATTGAAGAAAAAGAACTTAAGATACAAAGGACTGTTTGGGGTGTCCCTCTCAAGAAAGAATGTTAACATGCTATCTGAAGTGTAACCACCATATACTATATATCATTGGAAAGGCTATGAAATGCACTATTTGGAAAAAATTATTTAGTTCTAGCTTGATCTAATCTTAAACTGAATGGAGTGTGACAATCTGAAACAGAAATTGTTTCTTTGAGCAAATCAATCAGGTATCAGATCTGACTGCAGAAATAAAACCTCTTCTCAATTTCAATCCTGTGGGGTTGGTCTTCTAAATGGTGTGGGGATTTTTTGATAGTCTTATTGGTTGCTTTGCAATTTATCTGTCAAGTTTACTAGTTAAAATGTTTACTGATACACATTACATTGGAGACCATTGCAAAAGGTCCATTTTAAAAGCAGCTTAAGCACCTCTAGCAAAACTCAATACCTTAAGACAAAAATGAAGCTTTTGCACTACATGTACCGCATCAGAATTTCTTTTCCAACTTAGGGCCATTTCTATGTACTATGAGCTGTCAGATGATGATATGGAATTTATCAAAGGTGAAAGTGATGGAAAGGGTTTCTTGATCAACCTTATTGACTCGCCAGGACAGGTGGATTTTTCATCAGAAGTTACAGCTGCTTTGCGTGTTACTGATGGTGCTCTTGTCGTAGTGGATTGTGTTAGTGGTAGGTATTTATTATGAATCTTTAAGCTCTGATACCCTCACAATCCATTTGGAAGGAAATCAAAACCCACCATCTCGACCCTGAACACGATAACATCATTATGGATATTCTCCTCACTTCACTCTATCCATTTCCTTTGGTACTAGTAACAGGGTTTGTATAGGACTTGGAAAATCTGGAAAGTCCTGGGATATTATTTTGACATCTCCAGGACTGAAAAGTCCTGGAAAAAGACCAGAAGTCCACGAAATCTGCTTAAATGAAGCAATAAAGTTTTCAGAATCAATGTTGTAATAAATGTATGTAGACTATAAGGAGAATTGATTTTGAAATCTTGGAATTGAAAGGGTTTAAGGTGAAATTTGGAGTCCCAGAGAAATCAGTTTGTGTACTGGGAAAGTTTTGGAAAAGTCCTTGAAATTTGTTCTGAAAATAGGGATGAACCCTGTAACAGAGAGAATTTGTCAGACAATTTGAAGCTTTAATTAGCAATCATTCCATGATTCTTTTGAACTTTGTTTGATTCAGTATAAGGAGAAAATTGATGGCAAACACTCCAAAGGGTAAGGTGAAGACTCTAATCCTAGTAGGCATCATTGAGCTTGATTCTTCACAAACAGAAGTTTACTGAGTAAACTCTTTGACCCTTAAGAGTGGCTAACATCCAATCTCTCCTTACAATATCACCCCTGTATCACATCAAGGTGGCTATGAAAAAGGAAATCATCGCTAACCAAAGAAACTCTCCATTGTTCAACAAATTGTGATTGTCAGTACCTTTGGAAATGTGAGGAGGACAGTAGTTAAGATGTAAAAGGGTTAAGTTTTGCAATGACTGACCCCCCCTTAGTTTGAATGTAGCTTGAAATTTTCATGCTTTGTTTTTATTATGCTTACAGTATTTGACAGAGTTACAAATT